GCCAGGATCGGCTTACGGGCGCTGAGCAGTACTCGAGGAACACCAATCTGGAAATTAAAGGAGTCCTCAAGCGTGATGCCGAAGTACTTCCAGATGTGATTCGAAAACTGGGAGAATCAATTGGGGAACAAATTACTCGAGCGGATATTGCCATCTGTCATCGTGTACCGACGCGGGACACTGAGACTACAAACATAATCCTGCAGCTTGTAAACCGCAGCAAGCGCTACGCAATACTTCAGAAAGCAAAAAAGAAGCGCCTTCCAAACTCGGATGTAGGCCTCGACACAAATACGCCGACATTTGTGAACGAGCATCTTTGCCCGTCATTAAAACGTATTCTTGGAAAAGCGATTGCTAAGAAGCGGCAGTTGAACTGGAAACATGTCTGGGTGAGCAATGGAAAAATATTTGCTCGTCAAGCCGATGGTTCCCCACTCGTTCCAATCAAAAATGAGGCGGACATCGTGAAGATTAGTTAGCTTATCTACTCGGTCTCTTTGTGTTTCTTTTTTTTAATTTGCAATGGGATACACGGAGTTAGTTTTGCCTGTGGACCTTGGTCATTGCTTGTCATCGAAAGATAACACTCTAATCTATCACCTAAATGCCCGTTCCGTAACAAATAAACATGACAGTGTCATATTACATTTAAATCAGTGCTGCGTTTCTTTTGACATAATAATGTTTACGGAAACCTGGTATCAGCATGAAGCTGACATGCTCATTGTACCAGGTTATAATCACTTCTGTTTGAACCGAACAGATAAACGTGGTGGTGGTGTTTCTATTCACGTAAAACGTTCTATTAAATGTGAGTTGCTACATGCGTTTTCTCAAATATCAAGCGATTGTGAGATACTAACTCTAAAATGTGGTAACACTATTTTTACTGTTATGTACCGCCCCCCTTCGGCAGATTTTGGAAACTTCATTTCTTTTCTTGAGCGCTTCTTTGACTATGTCTCGGTAAATAACTATCGCCTTGTTCTAGGCGGCGATTTCAATGTTAACATATTAGATGACTCCTTTCATTCAAACTCTCTCAGCAGTACACTCAACTCTAACGGCTTTGTAAATGTAATTACGTCTGCTACTAGAATCACCCAAACCACGTCAAATGCAATTGATCTTTTCATTACGAACGTTACAACCAAAGTTAAGGTATCTGGCACTATGAGCTGTTGTATCAGCGACCACATTCCCATTTTCTTGTCGATACAAAATTATGAAATACCGAAAAAAGTAAAAAAGTACCGCCACCTTCCGTAAAATGTCCGATGACTGCCTCCTGGCATTTAGGAATGCAGTTCTTAACTGTGACTGGAGCTTTGTTTATTCTAGCTTAAACGTCGATGTCTCTTATAATACTTTCTTGGACGTTTTTAAACAACTTTATCATTTGCATTTTCCTTTAAAAACCGTAACCGTAAACAAAAAGATAAGGAAACCCTGGGTGACCGCCGTACACATTAAAATGATGCATAAAAAAGACCGCCTATACACGGCTTTCCTAAAAACGAGAGACCCAAACAGGCTCGCATCTTTTAAGAAATTTAGGAATAATCTAACTTCTGAACTTAGAAAAGCAAAATCTTCATACTATAAGCAAATGTTCCATAATGTCACTAGAGAGCGCCCTGATGTGGTTTGGAAAACAATAAATGAAGTCATAAATCGTACAAAAGTGTCCCCCTCTATCGGTGAATTAGAAATAGACGGTCAAGTTATGTCCGATGAAAGTCTGGCGGAATGCTTTAACACTCACTTTTCGGTTGAACAACCCACTGCTTTTAATCCTAGTCCCCTTTCATATGTAAGGCATAATAACGATACTTTTTTTCTAAATCTAACTGACGAAATTGAGATATGTAATATATTCTTAGGACTAAAAAACAGCAAAAGTAGTGACGTTGATCAATTGCAAGTAAAGCCGGCTAAATATGTAATAGATATAATCGCCCCATGCTTAGCACACATATATAATTTGGCATTATCATCTGGCCAATTTCCAGCAAACATGAAGTTGGCAAACGTTTCTGCTATACACCTTTCCAAAAAACACTCGACCCCAGGGGCAACAAACCGTTTGTGAGCCCAGTCACTGAGTTTGAGGCTAGACTCTCACCGGCGTCCCTCCTAACCCTAACCGAGTGGACTGTGATTTCAATAGGCGCAGCCTGCGTAGGCGCAGCCTGCGTAGGTTCAGTTTCGAACGCTGCTGGCGGCTAAATTCTCGTCTTTTCCCGCTATATTTTGTGTTTCATGGTACATGTATTTTCCCGAGGACATTGAGAAAGCATTGTGCCACATTTAAAACAACAAAAACAGTAAAAAAATAATTAAACTATTCTTGTTGGGTACACGCGCGACGGAACGAATGCGACTGGAATGAATAGTTCTAGTTATTTGTTTTTTTCTTGCGATAAGTTTTGACGGCACCGCGGGATTCGCCGCATGTGAAACGACAAAGGGCTTTGCTGTCAAAAATAAATTGCAACAGAAGAGGGCCGAAAGGCATGCATTTTTCACGCTCACAAATAACGTGTTTACATTCGTACGTACCACACGATGCAGCGTTATCCGAATCGAATTTATTTGAGAAAGATCTCAAATAACACAGTCACAGTCGACGACAGTCACATCTTGACGATCGGACGGAATCCGGGATGACTTCGTTTTGGGGCACGTCTTGGGGAGAGCTTCCTTTTTTCACAACCGCACCAAGGCAAAGAAACAAACGTGACTGACCCGTTTCTCACCCCAACCCGGACAACTGTTTTTGGAGATGGCTGAGGATTTTACGCGGATTAGCTCTGGGAGGGGGGAGAACAATGTTCGCAAAATCGCGTCGAGGGTCGTTCGACGTCCTTCACGTCTTTCGTTTCCCGTGAATGTCGAGCAGAAAAGTTTGAATGGCAGGCACTTACCAGCCTTATTTCTCACAATGGAAGATAACACCGAAAGGGTACGCTGCACGCATAAAAAAAATTAAGTGGAAACTTTCAAGAAAGGCGAGAAAACGTCGAATGCAAAACCGCAAAAACGTATGTAGAGAACCGCGCTGAGCGGGTCTTCACAGTCCCAGAGAGTGGCAGAAAATTTCTAGCTGATAGAGGGCGTGAGAGTCGCACCAACCGCATCAGCATCAGCAACATGGCGGCGGCCTAGGAGCGGTTTTTGGAAAGGTGTATACATAAAGGAGGCGATAAGAACGTCCCGAATAATTACAGGCCTGTATCAGTATTACCTATCTTCTCTAAGGCACTTGAAAAAATTATACTCGCACGTCTAAATTCGTTTTTTACAAAACACTCTATACTATCGGACTGTCAATTTGGTTTCCGACAAGGTAAATCCACTGAAGCCGCCTTATTACTTCAAAAAGAAATTATATTGCAAAATATTGAAAAAAGGCTTCTTACGTTAGGTGTATTTATAGACTTCAGTAAAGCGTTCGATGTTCTCAATCACCACATTCTTCTTGCTAAACTTGGCAACTATGGTGTCCGCGGAGTACCCCTTGCTTAACTTACATCATATCTACAATGTAGGAAACAGTGTGCGGTAATTGACGGTCATTACTCTTCCTTTCATAATGTTAATATTGCTGGTGTGCCGCAAGGAAGCATACTTTGGCCTCTTCTATTTTATGTATACATAAATGATATTGTTAACATCGATCACCAAGTTCAGTTTGTCATTTATGCTGATGATACGAGCCTCTTTGCTTCTGCTACTGATGCTGATGTTCTGATATGTAAAGCGAATAATATCTTAAGTAAATTTGACATGTGGTCCAAAGTTAATGACCTTAAAGTAAACACCCAAAAATCTAAGGCCATTTTATTTTGATCTATTAATAAACCAGCTCTGGTTAAAAATGAAATCAAGCTTGGTGATTCACAAATTGAATTAGTTAGCCACCATAAAATTTTAGGAGTACTTTTTTCCGAGTATGTGATGTGGGACTGCCATGTTAACTATCTAATTGCTAAACTTTCCAGAGTTGTTGGCATTATTGCCCGCTGTCGTCATGTTCTACCAATCAGTATTAAGTTAAAACTTTACTACGCACTATTTGAGTCCAATTTAAATTACTGTAATCTTGTATGGGCTACGACAACTAAGACAAACCTTCAAAATATACTATTATTGCAAAAAAACGTTCTACGTTATATCGCGGGTGTCTCATATACAGACCATACAGAACCATTATTTTCTAGATATCAAATACTTCCCGTAGAACGCGTATATAATTATCGTTTACTCTGTACCCTTCGTTTCTCATCGCCAACACTCATAGAATTTTTGTATTTTATTTCTGAACTTGAGAAACGTGAAAGTAATCTAAACACACGCCGTGTCGACACTTGGCTCCTTCCTCGGTGCCACACAAATTACAACCTCCAATCACTGCATTACAAAGTACCGTACGTGTTAAATAAATGTTCCACGAACAACATAAACATCTACACAATTGGCAAAAAAGACTTACGTACCTACTGTTTTAACTATTCATAGCTAATTTTGTTCTTCTGCTACTCCAACGTTATTTGACCTTGTTTTATTTTTCTTATCACCCTGGTAAAGTGTTTTATATGTTTGTTGTACGAGCTGCTGCCATGTATAAGGGGGACCCAGACCCAGTCAAGCTGTTTTTAACAGCTTTTGTCTGGGGACCCCTCCAGTTTTTATGGAAAAATAAAGTTTATTGTATTGTATTGTATTGTAAGCTGAAACGGGAGACCTTCGAGACCATGTCCACCGAGCTGCTAGCGCGTGCCGAGCGTACCATGGCGTAGGCGCTGATGGTGGCCGGGCTGCGGCCGTCAAACGTGGAGTCGGTGGATCTAGTCGGGGGCGGTACCTAAGTGCCGGCGGTCAAGCAGCTGGTTTGCAAGGTGTTCCAACGGGAGCCCTCGACAACTCCGCACCAGGACGAGGTGATGGACTGGGGCTGTGCCCTGCAGTGTGTCTTTCTGTCACGCATCTTCAAGATGCGAGACTTTGCGGTGGTGGACGCCCAGCTTTACTCCATCGAGCTGTGCCACGACCCGGGCAAGGGAGAGGAAAGTCGGGCAGAGGTGTTTCCCCGCTGGCACCAGCTGCCCTTCAGCAAGATGCCCACCTTCTACCGGAGCAAGCCTTTCAACCTCGAGGCCAAGTACCTGCAGGAGGCGGCGGTGCCCCACGCGGACCTGCAGCCGGGCAGGTTCACGGTGAACAAGGTCGTCTCCGCGGCCGGGGGCGAGGCGTTCAGGATCAAGGAGAAATTGCGTCGCAACCTGCGGGACATCTTCTCGGTGGTGTCCGCCTCGGACCGCAAGCCCGACGGTCGACAGGCAAGTGCTGGGTGTGCAAACGATGGCGACCTAGCGGCGGCGGGGGCGGCGACTGGCGAAGAGGCACCCCCGAACCAGGGAGGAGACCCCGACAAAGTGGCCGAGGACGAACCTGTCAAGAAGGAGAATTGGCCCAGCCCAAAAGACAAGCAAGCCAAGGCCACAGAGCTCCCGGTGGAGGGCCGGGTGCCCCAGCTGAGCGCCTTCGAAATGGACCAGCTTGTGAAGAGCGAGGTCAAAATGGTCCACACGAACCGCATAGAGAAAGAGCGACTGATTTGTCAAGAAATGGGTTTTGGTTCGTCGCATACGCGAACCGAAGTTTTGGTATTTTTTAAATGGATTGTATATTTTAAGTTGGTGAGTTCTTTTGTTTTCTTGTTTTGGTATGACTGAACGGGCAGTTGCGTGATTGTGAAAGTAGCCTGGCCTAGAGAGAGCATATGTTCCGCATACGCCTTTGCTGATTTTTTAGATGCACGTTTCAGTTCATATGATGTAAGTGTTAAGGCACTTTTTTGTAGCAACGGGTGTTTAGAGCCTTGGCGGGCACATTCAAAATCACCTTACCAGAGCGAAAGTGACCAGCGTGTGACGGGCGGACATTTTTCTCTTTTTGTTTGTGTAATAATTTTTTGACATTGAGGCCCCAAAATTATACTTGTTGGGAGGTGTGAAGGTCAACGTAAACAACAACCGTAAATCCAGAGGCGCGACATGGGCAGGGTTTCGGTAGAGTGGCTGTAGTTTCGGTTTCGTCTTTCTTTTCGCTCAGTGATGACTTTAATATGAGCGACGCGACTGTGGCTCGAGCGAGACATAAAAAAAGAGGAAGAGAGGGAGACGCGTGAGGGCCGTGAGAACGCCGGTCGGGCAGCGATTCGATCTCTACTGTAAATCGACGTTTCTTTTTATATTTCTCTACTTGATGGAGTCTGCCAGTCATTTTTATGACCATCAACATCCGCAGACCATCGGCGTTCTCAGTCATCGGGTCCCTGACGCAATCGTAAGAAAACAACGAACCTTCACTGTTGCATTACACAATATAAATGAAAGAAAAAAAACATCTAACCCTGACTACAAAAGAAGCAGAAGAAAAATGTTATTGTACGGTTCCAAGCGTCCACTGGGAAAGGATGAAAGTAAATGTTGCTTGCATATCAGAGTCCCTATAACAGTCTGAGGGTTGTTTCCGTTTTCTTCTTGAGTAAAACTCGAACATGCTGTCAGATAGAGACTATTGAAAATGTCTGGCACATAAAATTTTAGCCCCAGACATTTCTGGCACGACGATTCTACACCAGTCTGAGTGTTCTAGGTGCAAAGTATGGAGTTTTGAAACTGGTGCTCTGAAATATTTTACGATATTCGCTTCAATAAAAAAGAGATGGACATAAAGGACGATCCAGTTCAGCAATTTTTCCTTGGTATGTTTCTGTGTCAGAGCTGTATACGACACTTTTAAATATTCCGTGCAAACTATTATCGATCTGTTTGTGCCATAATTCCGAACATCCTCCAAAGATTTTGAATCCATATTTGAGGTCACTGTATGCTAATGCGTTGATAGCTATTTTTTTCACTTTTCGAGGGGCAAAAGTTCATATATTATACATCACACTAGTGACATGCCTCAGTTATTTGCAAACCGTTGCTCTATGGGGGTTCTACGGCAAGTCACTGTCACATTTAATACCTAGTTACATCACATTTTGAACGTAGTTAACAGGGGCCCAGTTGCATAACAAACACTATGAAGAATGTACGAATAAAGCTATATTAAGCAAAACAATATTCAAAGGATTACGCAAAGCATACCGGACGTGTTTTCGAGTTGTTTATTTCTAAAGTATTTACTTTAAACAAGAAAATGAGATGTTTTGCTTCGTTCTGAAGAAGAAAAATGACTTTCTCCTATTCTGTATGACGTGATAATATTACAGTATCATTGACACGCTGGTAAAGTTTACAGCTCAATAAAGAGTTTGGCATATCATTTACAAATATCTTGAAAAGTAATGGCGACAAAATAAGACGTTGTGGAGCTCCGGATTTTAAGGTGACTTGAAAACTCCCCGTTTTTTTTAATGTAAACATGTTGAATGCCTTCATTTAAAAATTGTTTTGAGTAGTTCCAGAAACGGGCCGCGGAGGCCTTCGTAATAAAAGTTTTGTAAAAGAAGGGCGTGGCAAACACTATCAAATGCTTTTGACTTATCGACGAAGAGCGCAAAGTCAAATTCATTCTTCTCAAATGCATAACGCAACTCTGCTGTAAATTCTTCAAGCAATTTTTGTGTTCCTCTCCCCCTGACAAATCCACATTGGTTGTCAGATATTATCCAAAAGTTACCAAGAAACTGACTGATAACTTGAAAAATATGTTTTTAGAATACCTGACTTATGCAAATTAAAATTGTAGCATTGACAGTGCTATGACGACATTTGTTTTATAGGCTACTTTTTTTTCAGACAGCCCGTGCAGTGTGCAGTGGGTCCTACAAAAGCCTTAAGTTTAGAGCTGCTTGTTCACGCTGCGGCGAGGTTCCAATAAAAAAAAAATAAACGCTGCCGCGTGGCTCAATCGCTATAGCAAACGTTTTGGTCAGGGGTCGCCACCAACCTGGACAGCCGCGCTTCCCAATGCAAGTTTCTATATACCTTTCAATGTTTGCGAGGGCGACAGTTTGTAATATTTTTTAGCTTCAAAGATTTTGTACATTTTGACGAGCAATACACCCTTCCCGATCGAATGTCCTGAAGTTTGATGATATTTTCCCTTGGTTTATTTGGAGGTCAAGCTGGGCACCCCTGAGGAGTGATAACATTTTTCATCGGGTGCGCCATAGGGTACTAGAACTCTCACATTTGTTTATTAAGCAACTCGTTTCTCCGTTTCTTTTTTTCTGGGAGAACCGGTCCACCCTTTTATATCTGTGTCTATTTAACTCGAGCTGTCACCCCATTTCCCTTTTTTCTCCGTCTTTTCCTTGTGGAAGTTAGTTGAGCAGACTGTTTGGCTTCCAGAAAGAAGTCGCAGACGCAGTGAAGTTTTTGTCTGCCCGTTTTTTTGTTTTTTGTTTTGTTTTGTTTCCAAGTAGTCGTTTTTAGCCAGCAAGGAAGCGCCCACAAGATATTTGGTGGTCAATTTGTTCCCTACGCCCATTTATTGAAGTTTTGTTTTTTTCTGATGGCGGCCAAGATGTATTTTAGGCTCTGAAGCGTATGTGTGTACCACCGTCCTTCAAAACATTATTAAAAAAAATTACATACCAGTTGCCCATTAAATTGTGGCTGATAGAAAAAGTGTCTTGTTGTGCCTTGGACTGTTGACTGCGTATTGTGTAAGGCACCTGAGACAATCAAGCAGGCATTTATATTTTCTTTAGATGGCATGTTCTTCTGGGATGTGCCGAAACGCACGCTGAAGAAAGGGTATTTTATTCCCTCCTGGGGCATCTTTTTGTTTTTTAACGTGAAGAACGATGACGGTGTTCCCCATGATATTTTTTTTTCTTCTCGGCATTTGCAGCATCTGGAGGTCGCGTATGGCTGTCAGGTATGCCGACCGCAATACCCAAAAAGTACGCTCCTATTTTGTTTTGTAACTTGCTCGACAGGTGGAAAGTGTGTTTGCTCACCGTGAGCCCATGCTCGAGTGACTGGGCGTCTGTAAAGCTCTACTCGAGGTTCGAGTATATTATTAATTGCTGCAACAATTTTGCAGTTTTTCATGTGAACTGATAGTCCTTGTTGGTCTTGCAACAAAAAAAAAAAACTGTGGTGTGTTTTAGTGGAAACGCGCCAGCATCACATGTAGAGGACCCGGGTTTGTTTCTAGTGGCGAATGCCCTACATCGCTAACTACAACATCAACTACGACAAATGCTACAACGTCAAGAACGAACGTCATCTTCAGTGGTTGGAGAAGTCCATATCAGCCATCGCAGCAAAATCCATAGAGTTATTATGATACGCGCTAGAAGTTCAACTGGCGCTACGGTCGGTGACAGGTTAGTAGTACAGTGGAAGCTCCTCGCACCTCTTTCCATGTTAGTAGAGCGAACGCTGGAGAGGAGGTGACATCCTCTCCTGCGTTGGCTCTGCTAAACGAAAGAGAGGTGGCAGGAGCTTCCGCTTTACTCTTAACATGTCCCCGACTATAGTGTCTGTATGACTTACAAGAGGCAAAGTGAAGCAGATAGCGACCAGTGTACTTTCGCGGTGCTCCTGTGCATTCCTGTAAGAAAACGCACGTGCATTTTCTTCGCTTCTCCAAATATTAACAGAGATCACCTTTATTATTTGCATCCTAGCGAGGGGTATCTGCCTTTATCGACACTCTGAAGTGTAATTGCTTTAGTTACATCATTTTTCTTCCTCAGTGATCCAAGTTAAACGTCGCTATATTTAAGGCCCGACCCACCGTTGCAGGTGTGTAAAAACGAGCTGCCATTTCAAGTAAAATAACAATAAAAAATGACATGGAGTGTGTTCAGACTTCACCAGCACTCCGGTTACACTTATATATTGCTGATATGCCGGTTCTGTCACTACACGAAAATAATCCCCGTCATGCATTTTGATTAGCGCTAAAAGACGTTCAAAACGTAAAGAATAAAGTGGTTGATTAAAAGTTTTTATTTTTATATTTCTTACGCTGGACAGATTTTATCGGGCACCTGTTCCCTGGTTTCTCTTAGTTTTTAAGGATATCGAGCGTGGGAATGATGTTTTAAAACCAAAGCAAGCATCTTCGCGCATATGCAAGATCGGAATGTATAAACAAGTGCTTCTTTATTGCAAATTGAACTATATTATGTGGCCTTAACGTTATCTTGAACATCTCCATCCACAGGGAGTTACTGATCCAGTGCTACTGAGTAGTTCGTTCCAGCTCTTTTGGTTTTCCGGATGTCCTTTGTTCGTTTGGCACGTATATCCCCCAATGACCCCATGCTGAAAAGCACCGACGCCGTGTTCGCGCTAGTAGTGCTCGCTAGTACACATAAATGCATGCACGAAGCTGTATCCGCACTGTGTTAAATGCCGTGAATTTAAAAAAAAAGTAACGCCATAGCTGACCAATCCGTTCATCTGCGTGACTGAGAAAGTTTCCAAGCTACCTAGTACGTAAGAATTATTCGTGATATTTGCACTTATAATCGAGCGCCGGAAGAAAATGCATTCACATCTTCCTATAGAAATGACTTGCCGGAAGTTAATTTTAGACAGCTTGCTGTCTGCTTGAATGTGCATCAGCACACTAGCGCCAGTTGAACCTCTAGCATACATTACAACTAGGGCTCCGTGTTTTCGGATAAATCCGAAAAACTTTGAAAAACACCCGCCGGTAAAAGTTTTGGCAATTTATCCGATAAACTCCGAATTGTTATGTGCCCCTGCCACCCCCCCCCCCCTTTTTTTTCCCCACAAAAAAAAAGTTTTTCTTTTTTTTTTTTTACAATTTGAGCAGCGCAGGACCAATGGTCCTGGGAAAAAGACACCATAATTATCTTTCAAGCCTCTAACCGGTGTCAAAAGGGGTCTTACGGCTTGTCTCGTCAAGGTTGGTTCAGGGAAACAGGTCATTGTACCATTCGTGTCACGACAAAAGCCACTCTTTTGGTTTCCAGTTTGGGCCATGGGGTTTGGTATTTAAAGAAAGGAGAGGGTATGTTTCTGGGGGTAACTGTGAAAGCTATGGACCATAGAGATTGTATAATATAGGGAAGAGGGGCAGTTGAAACTTCTCTATTAAGTCCTTAACCACTCCACCTCGCGCGGCCGCGGGAAAGATTGATACGATGACTAAGAGCTTCCTTGCGGCTACCTCTGGCAGTTTATTGATTTTAAAGTATCGACATCTATCGAAGCCACACTTGTGTGCGACTTTTTTTTGTGGGACAAATTAGTTTTGCCAATGACACCAACACCAAATTCAACTGAAGAAATCTTAATTGATACAATCGCGTTTTATTTTTTATCTGGCTTAGGTTTATATCCGGTTATTTATTATTTTTTAAAAAAGAAACACTGCGAAATTCATCTCCGAATTTCGGAGAATTTCGGATTTACGAAAAATAAACTCAGATAAACACCGAATTTTCGCTAAAAAATAAACTCCGAAGAACACCCTCAGAGTTTCATGAAAAATAAACTCCGAAGAACACCCTCAGAGTTTCACGAAAAATAAACTCCGAAAACACGGAGCCGTTATTATAACTCTTTGGTAAAAAAAACAAAGCTGCCAAAACTACCAGCACTTACCTCCCACACGCGTTTCGTTGCCTTTCGGCGGGCTTGGCGACGTGTGCGCCGAGGATAACGCACTCTATGCTTCGTTCCCCCTTAAGCTGAGACTGCAGTCAAAGACAAGAGTTAGCCTGAGCACTTGGCTTTGAGACGTGCATTTCTAGCGTGAGTACTCGTTGTCCGAAATAACGCTTCAAAGCAGTGAACTCAAGCTCCCGTGCTTGTGGCACTGGCTGCAGTCTCAGCTTAAGGATAAACCGAGCATAGTAACAAATGTTAGATTAAACAAATCACCAAAAGCACGTCTAAAAATGAAGCCACTGCTGATGATAGATAGGTAAAAAACATGAACGACGTTTACAAATCTTTTTAATGCGAAATCAGAGCGCAGCTCTTGAGAAGGAAGAGGGGAGGGTACGGAGTGGAAAGAATGCCCCTCCTCCTCCTCCTCCGTACCCTCTCCTTCTCTCATCCTCCTTCTCTTCCGAAGTCTCCTCTTGCCTCCTCCTCCAATTCAGTTTCCCCGCTATATTTAACTGGTAAAATGACGTCACATGACTAGGTATCACGTCACCTAAGAACAAATTCAGTTTCTCCGCTAGATTTAGGGCGAATATTGACGTCACGTGACCTTAACACCAATTCAATTCTCCGCTATATTTAGCCGGCAAATGAATTGGTGTGGAGGTCACGTGACGTCAATTTTCCCTCTAAATATAGCGCGGTTACGCCGACGTCGCCGCCGCTGCCTCCACTGCCGCCGACGTGGACCCCGACGCCGACGCCGACGCCGACGCTGAGAGACACAGAAACGGGCGCCTGCGCTCTAAAATATTAACGGCGTTCTGCTCCTTGTGCTAGATGCATGCAGCGTGTTCCAAAAAAAAAAAAAAGGAAGTCTGCTCTTATTTTACGGCGGCACGTTTTCGCTCCCCTCACAACTGACGCAAATACCGCAAGTCGCGTTATCAATGACGTTGACGCCATCGTCGCCCGTGACCCACGAAGTGTTCGCAGCCGACACGACCCTAAACTGTCACGCCAGATATCACCTTCACCCCATTTCGAGCCCCCAGCACGTGTCGTTCATGGCGAGATGCCGACACGCTGGAACTGTCAGCCCAACGCGCTTACACATCGACGGACTCCCCCAGTGGTGTCCTTAAACTCCAACACAGGCCATGGAAAGATATCGACCCTTCTTGTCCCGCGTCGGGAGTCACGACAGTCGGCAATTTAGTTAAAAAACCGCGTAATGAACCAAGATGCAATAATGTGCACCCTTAGATTTGTAGGTTGCGTGCAGAGTGGCACAGTGTGAGGATCGCTCCAACGCTGAAATGAAGTTTGTCGCAACGAGTAAAGGGTGGAGTTATGTCTTCGTTTCAGCTGGAATTTGGACAAAGCCGACGCTACGAAATAATGGGATCTCTGAGGCAGCTCGAAAAGCTCGAGTCACGGGTTGTTTTATGCTTATAATTGGTTCAACGATGATTCTCTGTAAAAATACAAAAGTTGTATAAAAATAACAGAAATTGTCTGGCAGCTGGCCTGCCAGAAAATTTCTTTCAAGCTTTGTTCCCTGTTTTTATTTTTTTTCTTTTGTTATTTACCATGCTTATTTTCTTTCCAACTAACAGATAATATATGTAAAATCACATGTTCTGTGGAATCAGTTACAGAAAAATCCCAGCAAAGAAAGTTTATGTAAAATCAAAAGTACTGTTAAAGCGATTCAAGAAAATTCCCAGTACGGACTATCTATATAAAATAACAAGTTTCGTTAAATCACGTACAGAAAAATACGAGGGATGATAATTTCTGCAAATTACAAGTTTCGTAAGAGCAATTACGGTTAAAGCCCATGAACAGTTGTTGTTTGGTTTAGGTAAGTAATTTATATTTTCTTTCGTTTGAATCAATGGTATATTATGCTGTGCTTTCATTTATTTGTCACAAGTATTAGATGCAATATTCAAAGATGGAATAGGGAATAGGCAAAATATGACCGAACTGCAGAAACCTATTATGATAGGGCATTCTTTTAAAAGTTGAGCAAAACGTAATACAATGTTTGAAATTTGAGAAAAACTAAATTCAGCCATAATTCGAGTTTTGCGTGTGTGTAGATGTGTGTGTGTGGATGTGGATATCAATTGAATTTTATATGGGATTATTAACTAAAAGATACCAATCACTAGTCCCGGTATAGGGCTAAACGCGAACGGTATTTCGTAATGAACACGAACAATGTACCATTCTGAAGTAAAGCCAAAACCTACGGCAATTACCACTTTTGCAGACACACAAACACACACACACACGTACGCAAGCACGCACACACGGACACAAACAGACGCTCACACAGATTCCAGTGCCTGTGTTTGTTTAAAAGCTTCCTTACCACAATACAAGTGTTAGTATAAACCCATGGAAAGATAAGACGGTGGGCAAATATTGTAAAAATTATCAGCAAGACAAATGTTTTTTTTTAATAAAAGAGCCTCCATTCTCTACTTTAGATTTTTGAAAATTATTGAAATTAATAGTGCACGCTATTTTTTAATTCGAAAAACAGCATTAGTCAACATGCCACCCATAGCTCCATCTGTTTATAGCACTTAGTAAACCATGCTTATATGCATTACTTCGATTGGAAATATTTGAAAATTAAAACAACGCGAAGGATGATGGACCAGATGAAAAAGACAGACTGCGTGAACCAAACCAGCAAAAATCACTTTTTTCCCGATTCCAATGTCTGGGTATATGTTCGACCGCTTCTACAGAACACGCAACAAAAAGGGGAAATGAAAGTAACTCCAATAGGAAGGTAACACAATAAAAATAATGATGAATATTTGAATTGAAAAATATTTATTTACTGTTCTATACAAGCTCGTAAATGAGATACGAGCTGCGCTAGAGTCGGACCCTATGGACTCCAAGAGACGTGAAAGTTTGCGTGACATACTGCTCGCTAGCAACGAAAAGCTTCGGAAGGTCAATGAGGAGATAGAGCCCCTCATCGACGACAACGACTTGGAGGAGGACTACAACACCGTGGCTGGCTTCGAGGACGAGGTCGCAAGGATTATCAGTGAGGTTCGAGAACAGACGACACCGCAACCGCCACCCTCCGGAGGCGACAAAGGCAGCAGCTCCTACTTGACTGGAATCAAGCTCCCGAAACTACAACTGCTGCACTTCCAAGGTGAGCTTTCAGAATGGCAACCATTTTGGGAGCAATTTAACGTCGCTTTACACCGCAACACAAGTCTTTCTAAGCCGGAGAAGTTCCAGTACTTGCGCTCACTTCGCGTTGGACCAGCAGCCAGCATGATTTCTGGACTACAAGCCGCTGAGGCATGTTACCAAGATGCGGTAGAGATGCTGACTGAGCGGTTCGGTAATAAACAACGAATCAAACGCGAATATCTGGGAAGACTGCGTAGGCTACCAGCTGTGAAGTCTGAGCGTGACGTACAGGGACTACGGAACGTCTACGATCACGTGCAGACAAACATCCCTGGCTTGCGTTCCCTGGGTATTTCGAGTGATACATACGCAACTATGCTGGTTGATATACTTCTGAACAGCTTGCCATCACACATCGTAGTGGAGTACTACCGCATCAAGAGCTATATGCCACAACTGGCTCCTCCTACTCTCCCCAAACAGACTGCAGCCACTTCCAGTAGTGCGACGCGTTGTGAGACTATGGTTGATACATCGAGGAATACGGGAGAAGAGCTAGCTAAGCTGCTACAATTTCTACGGGTGGAAATCGAGAGCCGCGAGCGATCATCACGTGACGAGCGTCCATCGGCGAATCTTTCACCATGGGCTTCCAGACCTCGACAGGCTATCTCGATTCCTTCAACAATGGTGCTGCAAAACTCAAGTCATCTAGAGGATGCTTGTTTCTTCTGTGGAAAGGAGGATCATGCTGCCAGCACATGTTCTTCCGGGAGCTCCTTAGATGAGAAGCAAAGGCGCCTTGCACAGGACAGCCGATGTTTCCGATGCACGAAAAGAGGCCATCGCTCTAAGAATTGTCGCACCAAGGCTCGATGTACCACGTGCAGCGGGATACATGCCGTCTCTATGTGCAACCCAGAGTGGCGGTCAAACTCACCTCATCGCGGAGCTACGGCCAAGCGCGGAGAGGCCACCGACGTCTTAACGGCAGGTTCCACATCTTCACCTGGCGGCAACGGCGTTCTCCTGCAGACTTTCAGGGGCTGGATTGTGACTGACAAGAAACCTGCATACATCCGCGGCATCGTAGATGGTGGAAGCCAGAAAACATTCATCCGAGAAGATGTGGTCACAAAGTTTCAACTGGACACTATAGGGCACCTCGAGCTGAAATTTCACACTTTCGCAAGCACAGAAACAAACATTCCCAGCCAACACTTAAAGGTCGTGCGTCTCCATCTGCGAAGCCAGTACGCTACGGCGAGCCATATATTGGAGGCCGTGGTTGTCCCGTTCATATGTAAGGAGCTTGCAGAAACACCGGTCGACCACTCGTTCATACGAACCATCTCAGGCGAGCTCGCGGACGAGTTGATGTTCCCTTCAGTGAAATCAGAAGCTGGTATAAGCCTTCTGATAGGGGCTGACCAGATGTGGCGACTTCTTACGGGAGAGATCCGACGTGCTGAAATTGCCACCGAGCTGGTGGCCATTTCAACTGTGCTAGGATGGACCTTCCAAGGGCCGACCAGTGCAGCGCAGGTGCTATCATGTTCTATGAATGCGGTTGTGTGTGCTCTCAGCGTTAGGGCTAGTGAAGAAAATGATTCCATCGCTTTGCAAAAGTTTTGGGAATTAGACAGCCTTGGCATCATGGACGAGCCAACGACGACAATGCAGGACCATATATATATATATAGATATATATTTATCCACAACCCATTTTTTTTTCTCATAAAGGTCAGTGGTCGCGGTCGTTTGGCGGAGAGGAATTTGCTCGGTGGGCACTGGAAAGTTGTTTTCCTTACGGGCGGAGGTCCTCTGGTCCGGCCTAAATTCACTGTCTTCCCTACCTGCTAAGCGGACACGAACAAATACTAACATACAAGCGACCGAACCCTCAGAAGGCGATTGGCTACTCAGTCTACGTTGCTACGGAAATCGCCATTTAGGTCCATTCAAATCTTCGAAGCTTCCAGAGGGTCGTTCTAAACCAGTCGCGCAGAGATCACCATGGAACATCATCGTACTGGAAGCGTTCCTCGCCAATATAAGCGACTTTGGCACTGTGTATGCAATCGACTTATCAATCACGCCCATCTCCATGGATCTTTTACAGTTATATTGTTCTTGTGTATTTCAAAACAGTAAAACTATTTTCCAGTGCCTCCAAGCACCGACACAGCGTGAGGTGGTGGTACGAAGATGTACGCTTGTTTCGCCGGTGTGTGGATAGCAAAATTTCGGTATACGAGAACAGTCTCCATAAAGCTGCCCGCCACCAGCGAATTTAGATCGGCTTACCAAGAACGGAAAGGTCGTGAAGGAGAATTGGCTCATATCACGGACCAAAATGGCGACCATATGGGGAGCTTGGCGCTGCTCTCCCAGAATCAAGTGACTTTATCCGGGCTCACCAAGGACAGCGGGATATCTCGCAAGTGCTCGAAATAATTTGGAAGAACACGTGACCTGGAGACAAAAGGCTAAGGTTTACCTGTCCTCGTGGTAGGACCCTCGGATTCGTAGTATCAAGCGGCGCGTGGCGTCTGATATGCTGGAGCGTCTTGGCTCCACGTTTTCCCGCCAGTGTCACTGTGCATTTAGGTACCGCGGAAACCCATTTCGATTTCGTGCTTTAGTTTGTGCTGGGGCCCGTAAGGAGGCTATAAGCAAAACGGAACAAAGCAGTGCCTTCACTAAACCGATAAGAATGCGCAGCACCCACCTTACGTCAGAAATGATCCAATCGGGGAAAGCAACGTCCACAAACAACCGTTACCCGACATCCACCTTGGAAAATAAACTCCGCACCAAAATTAAGATCGAAGACAGAGCGCGCGTTGATCCTTGCACAATTACCACATGCAATATTACCATAAATAAGATTTTATTCTTGAAATACACAAACAAATTATTAATGTGTTAAATACGTTCTCATAACCGCTTTTCGTGAAGTGGGGAAAGACCTGATTATTCAAAAGGGTAAGAACAAAAAATGTATATATATATTTTTCTTGAACAGGGTTCGGTTAAAGACAATTAACAAATATTTTCTGTAAGACAACAGGAAATTTTGTAAAAATTCTTGTAATTTCACACATATTTTGTTACAGTGTAGAACTCGCACAGAAACACGACGAACACCAAGAGGGCGCGTCTTTGGTGCGTTCTGATTGGTCCCACCAGTTTGCAGCGTCGCCTGCGGCTGAACATACAGTGAAACGAAGTATACCTGCTTCAGTGACTCTCCCACGAGAAATCTGCGTGCCTGCAGCCGACGTGAAGGTGCTTGTTTTCTTAGGGGGTTTGCTATTCCATGCTGAACTAATCACGCAAAGAAAAAGGCGCAAGACCAAGGAACATTCGTTGTGCGTTATCGGCTTAGTTGGTGATAGAAAACGCACAAGGATGATGAGTCCCGTGACGACGCACTTTTGGCGCTGCTTGATCGGTTCCATCAGATAGTAGCGCCTTCCTCCGGCCGGACCAAAAGTGAAGCAGAGAAGAGCAGACGTGCTCATGGCTCTAGAAGATGGACTCCATGGAGCCAATATATGCGGCGAATGCCCGACGAAATTCACCTGGCGGCGTTCAGTCTTGCCCCAGCGTCAAAATACTGGTTGTTCGCCGCATATGTAGCAAGGCTAGATAGTGTTCCCTGGCGAACACCGCTAAAGGAAGCGGCCGGCGCGCGGTGAAGGACACGGGCTAATGCGGACTTGCGGAATGCGGAATGCGGTTTTGGCTTCCACGTGACTCCGGAGTTCGAAGGTACGAGCGCGCTTTGTGATTTTGTAAGCGTGTGTTTTATGGAGTCACAGCGCGTTTCGTCGATTTTTCGTTTTAAAGCTTTTTGTGAATATGATGCGTTTTAACGAAGCTTTGTAAGTGGTTGGTTTCGGTGGATATTCATTTTCTCCATTGGCGACGCTGACAGTCGCGCTGTTGTCGTCGGCGGCGTTCGCAGCTTTTTTTTCTCATGGAGTTCAGGGGTCAACGCATACGCGGCGGTGCGTCGTTGTAAATTTTTGCCGCGTGAATTTCGCCGTGAAATTTTCGCTTTTATGCCGGTCCTTCTTGGCAAGAAAGGCGCTGGTCGATGAGTAAAAGCTGAGGCTTAGATGTCATACGTAGTAAGTCTAGAAGAAAATGTCCGCCATTTTTTCCCACATTAAGGCTCCCGCAAGCGGCGGAGCGTGGAGCCAGACCTTTGGAGCCCCAAGAAATGGCCATCAATGAGCTTTACGTTTTATTAACTAGATCTGACGGTCTTTATAACAGCCATGGCAACATTTTTGCTGTCAAAACTGCATCAGGGCTTCGTCCGCTGCATACTTACCGGCGCAAAAAAATCGCGTTCCTATCCAAGTTTTTTTTTTTTTTTTTTTTTTTTTTTTTTTGCACAGCGAGCAGGTGTACGGCGTTCGTCAACGCCCCGAAAAAATGAAACCACGTAACCACCTTATTTCCGAGATTTCAAGGACTTGTCTCGTATAAAACTATACCAGAATGAATTGAGAGAGAAAGAAAGAAATTACTTTATTTTAGAGAAGAGACTGCAGTGTAGGGAGTAAATTAGTTTTCATTTCTTTTTTTTTATAAGCGTGAAAATAGCAAAACATTTAAACTACAACGTTAAGTTGTCACTGTAAGCTTTGCTTGAGAGTTTTCAACATTTACGATTATCATTGCGATTTGTTGCCCATCGCCTGGCAACATTGATTTCACTCTCGTGTATTCTGTCGCGCTATTCCCCATTTTTTACTCGGTACGCTAGATGCCAGTGCACGAGATTTGGCACTCTCCATTCACCTTTACTGTCCTGGGCTGAGAGCTTCATTTTTCGTGTGCTTTTTCCTGACTCATGTTAATTGGCAACAATAAATACGGGATTTTAGAGCATGTTTTACTTGAGTCTATTATTGTAAAAATAAGAATTGCTTCCAAAACACCGACCATTCCGGCGTTCTACTGTGATGTGGGGCAGCGGCAGGAAGGAACGTGATAACG